TTTCTACGGACTCGATAACTCGACTGCAAATACTTTTGACAACTCTTTTACTTTATCTTTTCTTCTTCTACGTTATATCTCTTCCTCTACCTTTCGGAGTATTAACGAAGAGCATTTCGCAAAATGAATGACAATGTATTATTGTTCGCTTAAACGAAATCTTATACTTTTGTGGAATTTAAACTCGAGTTTCCAACATTTTTCGCGCGAGTGTTGGAATTCTTGTTACAGAATTCTTATACAATAGGAAAACTCTCAACTTTTACGGCTCGTCGCCGCGGGGATTTTCGGCGGCGGAAGGGATTTCTCGGGCTATTCTGCATCTGAAATTTCGCAGCATCTGGCCGGTACAAAAATCTGGCGGGTCTCGGATACCTCTATCTGCCTGCCTACCTACCTACCTACCTACCTACCTACCTACCTACCTACCTACCTACCTACCTATCTACCCATCTACCCACCTATCTACCTACCTACCTGCGTCGTCGACTGTTCGCGTCACGGGCGGGCGGAAACGCGCGGCACTCGCTTCTCTTCCGCGCCGGTACGATGCAGCGAGAAAAGATGGCTCGTTTCCTCGCATTGTTTCTAACCGCGGCAATATGAGCGCGGCTTGCATATGCCGGGGACATGGGAGCGGATGCGCGGATGCCCCGTGCACGCTCTGCCGCGTTCGCGTTCGCCTTCGCGAGCGCGTTTTTCAAGAAACAATCGAGAAAAGCTGCACATTAACGCGTTAAATCGCGAATCTCGATTAATTTCATCAAGCTTTATAACCCAAGATTATATATATAAGCTGTCCTAACACACAACCCGGATGTTGTTTCAATCTTATCAGCCTCTTTGACCATTATGGAAAGAGAGATGAATTTTTTGTAGCAAATTTCTTTATCGAGAAAAGTTATCATTTTCCAATTTTTTTGCATGTCTCTGCACTAATTAACTGAGAGGGATTAAGATTTTTGTGCATATTTTGAATTTTACTCGAAGAAGGTGACTTTGTCAACCATTCCTAAAGCTTAAAGCCTTTTTTTCTTCTTTTTTTTTTTACTCATTTATCGTTCAAAAATTATGAGCTGTCTTGAGATTCTGGTAGCTAGCTAGGATCGTAATTTACTTGGATCGAATATTCGCTTACGAGATGCATCTCTCGCGATGATGACCACCGCGACAGTCTTCGTGCAAACAAAAAACAAAAAAAAAAGGCTCGTCACCGAATTTGCGAGAGGCGCAAAACACGCTTGTCCTTCGGTGACGCTAATCGTACACGCGCGCGCACGGGCAGGATATGCAGGAGGAGCAGAATGGGAGGCGAGTTTAATAAATTAGCGTTTCCTTCTTCGGCGCAGCGTGCCGCAGTTACGACGAGAGGCTAAAGAGGATCCGTGCTCCGACGGCTGGTTTTAAATGCCGGAAGCACACCCCCTCGCCCCGGTCTCCTGACCGAACCCCACCTTCGTCCCTCTCTCCCTCTGTACCGCGCGCTGGTGATTTCCTCTCGCCCCGCTTCCTCACCGTCTTACTCTTCCTCTCAACTTCCTCCCGCTTGTACCAGCGGCGTTTCTTTCGCCGGCAACATCTGCCGTGTCCGCCTTTTTTCTCGTCGTATCGGGTCCCTCTTCTTCTCTCTCGTTCGCGCGTCTCTCCCCTTCTTTCTCCCGCGCTCAATTTTTTTTCCATCACGGCATCTCTCTCGTCTTTTACCCTCCTCCCCCTTTTCTTCCCTTTTCCCCCTCTTTGGGAGCATCCGTTCTTCCAAAGCCAAGTATCGTCAATTTGCGACTTGCTACGAATTTTGATAGCGTACGGAGAAGAACGTCGAGACCAAGTACTGATCGTACTGATAAACGACTATTGTTTCCAAAGAAAATTTCCCACTCATTTATTCGATTTGCTTTTAATTCACGAGGAATTCGAAGAAATTTGCTTTTGAATACACTGTAGAAATTGGTTTAAATTCAATAATCAGAAACGTTATTAGAAAAAAAAGAAACTTGACGAAAATACAGTAATTGAATAATGTATTACCGTGTGCACATTATTTTAATTATATGTGTGATTATTATTATCTAAAAATATTTAAATATTATAGTATTGTATTGATATTCAAATTTCAGTGCACGTACGCTTGTTGCTTTGTTTTTTAGCTTTGACATTTCACGAAACTACATCCCCGCAATGTGTAATAAATAGAACCGACGCAAATTGACGATATATATATATATATATATATATATCTGGTGTCAGGATCGGAATGCAACGCGCACCGGAAGTTCTAAAACACACTTATCAAGAGACACGGTAGTGTCTCGCGCCAAGTCACGCGCAGCAACAGCAAAGGCGGATTGTGTATCTATACGCGAGCCGCCGAGTTGTGTGCGAGTACTTTAGATTATTGGATCTCAGTAACGACTGAACCGATCAAGTTCTCAATAGGCTCAATCGATAGCTTGTCCATTTTACGTAACAAAAGCGTCTTTATTTTTGCTTCACGTGCTCTATGAAGAAAAATATTACAAATTTCCAATGTAAAAATTTCTATTTTTTCCATACGTCATTATAATTGTTTTGCTTTAGAATAAGAGCTTTTGATTTCCCGGATTAGAAAGGCCGATATATTTTTGTTTCTTTACAAGATGGCGCGATGACGGTTGATAGTTAAACCTACAAAATACATTCGCTGATAAAGAATTTTTTAAAGCCTAATGTGTATAAAAAACGGTGCACTTAAACTAAAAAAAATATTTAATGTAAAAAAAAACTTGGCGCTGTTATGGAATAATGATTAATTTTATTACAATATATAAAGATATTGATAATTTTTCATTATTACGTATATCATTTATCACAATTATAATATTCTTATGGCAGCGGCAAGTTTTTTACATTGAATTAAATTTTTAATTGAAATATTTAAGTCAAATACGATATATTAAATCTAACATGACGTATATTTGACTTAAATACTTAAATATTTCAATTAAAGAAATACAAAGAAATAGTAATTAGTTGGACGAATTTAGCCAAGTTAACAATTTTTTGTTTCTCAGTGCGTGAACGTATCAACTTCCACTCCATTTGTCCATTTGTTCATTCGTTTGTCTGTACTTTTCATTTCTTGATCGCCTGCCTATCAACCGCCTGATTATACCGGCTCGAGAATTGGCCCGTAAATAGGAGCCTACCATTTGCACGGTCTGTATACCTGCAAGAATAATTATCGTTACAATCGCGGAGGATGCGCGGTTCGCGAGGGTGCGCGCAGAGGAAGCGATAAAGACGAATGTGTATTTGAAACGTGGGATCGTTATAAACTTCTCTTTATAAACTTTAAAATATTAATAAGTTTTACGAAAGTTTATTATTACGCGCGTAAAAAGAAGGGAAGAAATTAGAATAATTATTTATAGAAAAAAAAAATGAATAATGTACACCTACAGCATTCTACGGAATGTGATAAGTTATATAAACTTCAATTTATTTAAGGATTGTTAAATATCAAAATGGCTATTAATACATACCTTAGTATAGAATGTTTTAGTACTTTAGTGTCCAAAAGGAAAGCTTATATATAATGATCTTGTTTATGTACCGGAGAGTAATGAACGATAGAAAAAGAGTAAGAGAGACGAAGCGCGAAGAGATAAAAAGTCTGGAAGTTATACTATACTTATTATACTAGTGTGTTTAAACTTGATCGCAGTTCTTAACGCAGCAATTAATCCCATATATCGAGTATCATTTTATATACATTGGCCATATCAGCAGATGATATATATCCATTTCGCAACCGGAAAACAGACGCACGAGCGTAATTATAAGGAACATCAGGAGATTTGCGTTGTATGGCGAATGATTGAAGCTGAGTATTGCGGTATAATCTGGCAGTTATCGGAAATATAGTCACATATATATATATCTAATTAATTTCTTTATATCTATTCAACGAGATGCATTGAAAGTGTTGATTTATATATATATATATATATATGTGTGTGTGTGTGTGGTGCTATTTTGAAATCATGTATGTATATTTTTTAAGAATAAACCAGAGTTAAATTTGTATATGTAGTAAATATCGAAATAAAATTACTAATAAAGTGTCGTTGATTTATATAACAATCGAGGAATTTAGATACATCAAACAATGTATCGAAAAATCTTTTCAGAGACAGATTGTTGGATGAATTTTTTTGATCTTGAGATAGATTGCGGATCTTTTTATATATCTTGTAAAAAAAAGTGAAGACGCTCGTTACACCGTTCGGTTTTAATTCCGACTCTATCGCGGCGCTTCTCCGAGCGCGAAGAGCGGCTTTTCTCGGTAAAGCCGCGAAACGGCTTGTTTGCGTCGCGTCGCGTCGCGTCGCGCGTTTATTTCAACATGTTGCGTCGCGCATCTCGCGTGTCGTCCCGTCTCGCTGCACCGTACGGTCCGAATCCGGACGACGTGCATGCGTCACTGGTTATTTTTGCCTAGACCCGCGGGATCCGTGGTGGTTTCTCGGTGGCAATGATTCCGGAGATTCGGTCCCGGGGTAACTAGCATAGCGATTCACAAACGTACCGCGAAACCCCGATCCACTCACCGTTTCTTTCTCGAAACGGTTATTCCATTTTCGAGCAAACAGATTGCAAGATTTTTTTTTTTTTTTTTTTGCGCAAATGTGATCACGCGTCGACGAAAAGTTACATTGTCTGTAAGAACTGGTTCGGAGACGAAGAGATGAGACAAGTGCAAAATCGTCTGCGATGCACGACCCCGGCTGTTAGATCGTTACAGCAATCGTTCTTTCCCCCTTTCGTTACGTAACAATGTGCGAAATAACGTAACGCAAGAAACTATGTAATAATGTTGCCAAGATGACAGGCACACATTGCACGCTGTCGAGCGAAATCGGAGCGACTTGCGTAATGACAAATCGCGGTCGCTTGCTATTTGATCTTATTGCATTTAACAATCTTTCTTTCGCTAATGATATTTTTATCTTTGTTCATAGTACTCCGGAATTCGTATCGGGCCGGTCGTCAAGAAAGATGTCATGAAAGCTTCCATCATGCTGGAACATGATAGCCAGTGAGTCCATTTGGAATACACCGTCTAATTTTCCAGAATGTTAAAATTCATATATTTCTTCGACACTTTTATTATACAATTGAGAATCAAAATAATAATTCTTGTGAATGATTTCTTTAGTAATTTTTTTAATGTGAAAAAAAATTCTAGAATGAATGGAAGAGAGAGAGAGAGAGACGGAGACAAAAACGCATGCGAGACCTGCGTGAAGGAATAGGACCAGTCTGGAGGATCGGAGCGGAGAGCGGTAACCGAGAACTATCGGCATACGCGTAGGTGAACTCGTTCGGCGGAAATACGGCGATTCAGTTAGCCGATCGATGGAGCGGACGTGTAAACTCGCTCTGGACCGGCCAGCATTCTTGCTCTCTCGCTCCCGATCCAACCGAGCAAGGAGAGAGAATTCGTCCTTCTTTTTTCGATTCTCTCTTTCCTCTCTCCGTCCCGTTCTTTCCCGTAGGAGGAACCGGGTGGGTAGCGGCCGGCTTCTCTGGACTCTGGCCTCGCCTTACGCGGTAGCGCGCGCGAAACGTTGCAGGTTGCCTAGCCTCGAATCTCGTAGGCGTTGGCGATGCCATTAGCGGCACGCAAATTCCCGACGGACAAAAATCCGAAATGTATTCTCCCACCAACGTCGCGATGACGCACCCACGCGCTCCACGATCAATGATTTAACGCGTGGCTCGGCTCGGCTCGGCTCGGCTCGACTTGACTTGACTCGGCTCCGCGCGCGACCCGTTTCTTAACCCTTTTGCCGTAGATACCTTTTCAACACTTATTCTCTAATTTAGGGAAATTATGTATTGTTATTTTAAAAACGTAGGTACATTATATTTCTGTCGATAACAAAAAAAAACTGTATAAATTTCTTTAAATGCTTACGCGCGTATGCTCTCTTCTCTCTCCTTTTTGTTATATATTACAATCTTTTATCAAGACATTTTTGAAACATTTTTCATCAATTTTATATAATTATATTTATCGTTCATATTATACATGTACATGTATATGGGCGTGCTTTGCCAATCTCATCGTTATTCAAAGATATCTGTCCTCTCGTGAAAGTTGAACATTGCATCGGCGCGCGATGTTGTACGGGTACGGCATGTAGCTCTGGATTCGTAGGAGTCGCGATCGCGAGTAAAATTGTGCGCGAAGGGAGACGACGAGCATTCCGAGCCCTTGCGCATATAGAAAGCGGCTCCGACCACGTATTCCGGGCCCACGCGATATTCTCCGCGGGACATCGAGAGGAACTCCTCGCTCCTCGCCTCGGAACTCTCGCCCAAGCTCTTACCGAGATTTCTCAACATTTTCTGGCGAACGATACGCCTCGCCAGGATGAATTCACCATGAGTTTATGATTTTTATGCAACGTGTTCTCGAACGACGCGCGAATTCCGAATGTCCGACCATTTTTTCACGAGAAAATCGACGTATATCCGCGGTGTCGAAAGACAAGCGTGACGAGATTCTTTTATAAATGACTGAATTTTTCTTAAACTTGATGTGAATTAATAAATTTTATGAAAACGACTCTTGTTTAGTTTAACTAATTTTTACGCGAATCAAGCGAGAAAAGAAAATTCTTTGCTTTCTCTCGAGAATGCCATGGTTTTCAAGAAAATATATTGCGATTTAGTTACAATAGCTACTGGTATGGATAAAATGAAAACGTTGGAAAAAGTTTAGGTATTTTGTATCTTCTCTAGTTTCTTTCTTTCTTTAGAATACGGCAAGACTTTAAAATGAAGTTTATACCCTTAGAATAATTTTTAAATCTTTCAAGACTCGGGAGAAGCAGAATCGTCCGAGGTTTCCAATTCGATTACAAAACTCTGAATCGTACGTGTTTAGTTGTTGCCGAGTAAAAGCTTTGGCGGAGAAACGTGAAAAAAAAAAAAACGCTTTGCAGACAAAACAACCGGCCGAGAAAAACTCGAAATTCACCGTGAAAGTTATTTCCGCCCAAACGCGCCCTCGACGATGACCTGATGATTATCCCGAACGTATATCGAGTCTCACGAAACTCGAGTTAACGCAGGTCAGTTTGCGCCTGGGCTCTCGCTTTGTCGAACAATCGGAGGCGACCGGATGTGCGTCGTCGTCGACGATGAGGAACGCGTCGATATCGCGCCGCGAAAGGAAGCGGCTTAATACGCGGGGCGGAAGAACGTGAGGTCGATACGACACGTGAGCTCGCAAGCGTCGAGCGGATTTTCAGCTCGCGATGCATTATTTGACAAGAGGCAGTCGATAGAGACTTTTGCACGGAGATCTGCGCGCGTTCCAGAGGAAGTAAATTTCGCGCGATGATCGCGTCATTGGTGACTCTGCAAATTTCTTTGCGTTATCGATGCCCCTTTCTTCCTTTGTTTGATATTGTACAAGATGCATTATATATTTAAATGAAGATGGAAATTGCGCAAATCGAATTTAAAATAAATTGTGAGGTATCTGTCTTTGATTGTATCTATGGATTCACACGCTGTTGCACGAATTTCTCGTAAACGCCATACGGGCACAATCTATTCTAGTAATATGAAAAATTGATAATATATATATTGATCTTTTTGGCGTTTTACATATGTTCTTATTGATGTTTAAACAGTATATTAATATTTTTAAATCTTATTTATCTTTGCGTATTCAAAAATGCATTGTTCAATCTAACATGATGTGATATGCTGCTCTTCTGTGTAATGAAAAAATCGTCTGTGTCTGAAATGAAAAAATTTGATCTGGTTTTATTCCAAAAGATGTTTTTGGTATATTGGATCTAATTTCATTAGGAAAATTTGAAATATAACAAAGTAGTGTCATTTTAAAATTAGATGTTCCAATTTTGCTGAATTTTTTTTCATTTTTTAAATATCAGAAAGATATTAAATATTAATTTTTTTAATTCTAATTAGGTTTAATATCTCAAAAATATCCTACGGAATAAAACTAGAACGAGTTTTTTTCATTTTAAGAAAAAAAGCTAAATATCCAAGATTGAAAAATGTCGACGTCCTATTTAAACATCGATAAAAACATATGTAAAATGCCAAATAAATAAATTTTTCAATAATCTTCAAAAAAAAATGTCTAAAAATCATCAATTTTTCATACTGCTAGAATAGACTGGTTCTTAATAAATTCACTGGGATACTACTAGCGTCGCGCTCTGATGACTATCGATCGTGTCGTTACATAACGCCTTACATATTGCTCTTCTCTTGGAATTTATTTCGATGTCATATGTGCCACGAGAAGGAAAGAGCCTAGAGAGCCCCTGGAGAACGCGCGTGCAACCCATCTATTAATTTATTCGCTTCCCCTCTCGCGACTCGTATCGTGCGTTATCGGGTGCGCGTATGCGCGCCCTCGCGCACACATATGTACGTAGAGATACATAGACACACAGACATCGGGTATAAGCGTTGCGCAACGCGGCGATTCTTGATAGGCGGCTTTAACGCCGAGCGGAAATCCGGCGGATTCTTTCGGCCTGCCGTTTTCTTGCCGGGCGTTTCCTCTTTTTCTTCCCCCTCCGTTATCCTTCACATTTTTCTCTATTTCCGCCGACCGACCGATCGATCGATCGTTCGTTCATTCTGTGACGGTTTCTGCTCGGCCCGATGACCCGAGAGCGTGGAGTTGGCGATAGCGCCGCACTTTTGATGCTCTCTCTTTTTCATCTCTCCTCCTTCCCCTCTTCCTCTTTCTATTTCTCGTTGCTCGCTCGGAGAATAGATCTCGGTGCTTTTCACGATTGGATGCTTCTGGCGGAAATAACCTCCGTTGAGTAAAGCATCGTCTCTTCTTCTTCTTCTTCTTCTTCGCGGTCCTCGCTCCGACCGTGTGTATCGCGCAACTTGTTCATTTTCTTCCGCTTCTTCTTTATCAGGCTGTTAAGTGACAACATCGGACCCGCGTCTGCTGGCGCATAATAGAATGTTAACGAAATAGATGCATTTTACCAATCGTTTACGTGCAACCTTTTTGTTTATTATAAAAATTCGATGTAAAATACATCTTAGAATGAAATAGTTATAGATAATCTTACGCGATTAAATTTTGGAAATCCAAAAGTATACTTTAATAGTACTATACTTTTTTCCTAAAATCTTATAGGGCTTACCTTACAGAAGCTCTTAAAAAGAAATAATGTAAATGAATTAATAGATTTCTCTACATGTCTTAATGTGTAATTTTAATTAAACATCTGTATTTTATATAAATTATAAATACATATATACCCACACACATTTTATAATTGGAAATTATTAAATTTATGAGATCTTAAGACATTAATCATACACACACGCACACACTAAGTATTCATTGTATTTACAAGATATAAAAATGAAAATAGATCAAACTCGAAGCTGAATGATTACATTTAACACCATAATGGGTGTTAAGAACGCTGTCCTGTCGTCTGTCAATGTCGTGCCCATAAAGCGAAAGTTGGGAACTCGAAGAGAAGCGAGTGACCAGAGCGAGGTGGAAAAAGTAGAGAGAGAAAGAGAGTGATGGAGAGTGAGAATGAGGCGGAGGCCCTTTATCGCGTAGCAAGTTCAACAACACGCTATCGTGGGGCGAGAAACACGATCAACGTCGCGTCGAGCGCGCACGTTCGTCTGATTTTCGATCTCTAATACAATGTTTCATAACGCTGTCTCGTAGAGGGAGACAGATAAAATTTTTAATGCGTATGTTCGAATGAAATCCCTGATAAACGCACGATTTTACAATTTGCCGAGAAATCTTTTTTTCAATCGGTCTCTTCTTTTATAGCTCGGATATTATTTTTGTTTCGACGATGCTGAAAAATACGCGTCCTGATATTTGAATTAGCAATCAAAAATGTCGAGGAATACATCCTGAAATTAGAATAATTTCATTTGTGGAATTATATCCAGCTCGTGTGTGTGGGTGAGCGACAGGAACTAGAAACGCTTCGGTGCATACGAGTCCTCTTCCGCCGGAAAGGCGCTGGTAACCATTCTTCCTTTCTCTCCGCCTGTCGTCCCTCCCC